AGGCAGGGTCTCCCTATTCAGTTCACGCTGGCCTTGAGCTCACTTTGTAGCCAGGCTGGCCTTGAACTCATGGCATTCCTCCTGCCTCAGCCTCCTGGGTGCTGGGATTACAGGGTAAAGTGTCTTTAAGGAGCACCCTTAACCAAATAAGCAAAGTAGGTGATGCCCCCAAAAGGTCCTAATTCCTGCACGGTCACAGTTCGGCTCCGACATGTTTGCTCCAAATAGGGCAGCCTCACGTCTGGGTCCTCATCAGAGAACTGGATGAGTGTCCCCTGGGGGCTCAGGACCCTGAGGCACTCCAATAACATCTGGTGAGCCCCAGGCAGCCCGCCCCGGGCCACAGCATCCCAGGTGCCTTTGTCCAGCAGGAGCTGGAAGGAGCCCGAGGGAGCCACAGGTCTCAGGTTCAAGGCGTCGGCTTGCCTGAAGCAAAGGTGGGATGCAGGGTGTCCTGGGGACAGGGGCATCTGGCCTTGGCCCCCCTCCAGAAGGCTGTTCATGTGGGCCACTGCCACAGGAGAGAAGTCCACGCCTAGCACGTCCACCGGGTGTGGCGACTGGGTGTAGAGGCCCGTACACAGGCCTGAGGTTCCACAACCCACATCCAGCACTCTAGGTGGACAGGCAACCCTGCCCTCCTGCAGGAGCGGAAGAAGGAATCCCTTGACTTCCTCATAGCCAAAGAACCAGTCGAAGGTGGGGACACTGCTTGGACGTGGCTGGGCATGTAACCGGTCCCAGAGGCAGCGGTCTGCCAGACAGCTAGTGGCCAGAGAGCCTGCGGACACGGGCGGGGCAGAGGATAGGAGTTACGGGTGCGCACTCTATTTCGAAGCGGCAAAGGCTACGGGGGATTAAGGACCTGAGATTGTGAGGAGCCCACCCTCGCTGCCTCCCTACCCGCCCAGGCGCGGGCCCTGGCCTGCAGGGGCGGCGCCCGCAGCATCTGGCGCAGCGCAGCCATCCGAGATCCTCAAGGTCGCCGCAGCCCGCAGGGCCTGACGTCCAAGCAGATCTGCAAATTCCGCGCCGCGGAGAAGCGCGTTCTGTCCCCGAATCCCGCCGCCTGGGAAACAGAAACGCAGATTCTGGCTCTAACACCAGCAGTCTTTACTGGTCGCCAAGGTCAAGTGAAGGGGAACTGAACAGATCCAACTCCGAGGCCGGCGTCCGCGGACCTGAAACCAAGGAAGAAGGCGTGAGCGTCCGCGCCCTGGGCCTCGTTGCAGGGCCTGTCGCGGCGCTAGAGGATAGAACCGGCGGACTGGACGCCGCCGGCACCGAAGACATGACGCCGAGGGGGCCAGAGCCCCTTTTTCTGCCTCCGTACATAACGGGGAGCGGGACTGCGCGCCCGGTCTCCGCCAAGAAATGGAGGGTCGCGTTCCGAAGTCCCACCCCCCCTCCCAGCCAGCGAAGAAACAACTCCTACCTGTTCCACACTGCATTGAGGAAGGGCACGGCCGGCGCCCGGCTGCTTTATATAGCCCTGTCCCCGCCCCCGAGCTGGGATTGGCTTACAAGGGCCGGGGGCGGGATCTGCAACGAACGGAACGGAAGTGAAGCCCGGCGAAGGGCGGAAGTACGGTGCCGGGCAGCGTCGGAAGCGGCCATGGCGGCTCCCGGCGGGAAGATCAACCGGCCGCGCACGGTGACTGCGGGGGCCGCGGGGGATAGGCTCCCTGGCCGGCGGTCCGCGCGCTCACTCGCTCTTTCTCCCCCCGCAGGAGCTGAAGAGGAAGCTGTTCAAGCGCCGGCGGGTGCTGGGCCGGGCGCGGCGGGCGCACCGCAGGGTGGTCGGGGCCGTGGTGGACGCGGGGCTGACCACGCGGCACCATCTGCGGAAGCGCGCGTGAGTCGGGGTCGAATCCGGGGCTGCGTGTCCTACCCGCCAGGCCAGCTCGTACACTGGGGTTTTTCCGGGCGTGGAGGTTAAACCTTCGCAAGGGGGTTGCACCCCTAGCCCCGGTTTATTTTTAATTTTATACAGGGCCTCCCCAAGTCGCCAAGTTGCCGAGGCGGGGCTCGAACTTGAGATCTTGTTTCAGCCCCCGACAGTGCTGGGACTTGCAGGGGTTCACCATCACACGCGGTTGTATTTGTAGTTTTATAAGTAAACGTACATATGGGAAAGCGCACGCCTAAGAGTGTGTACTCGGTGAAATTTTCCAAAGGTTTACGTAGGACTTTTTCATTCAGATTTCAAGGTTCCTGTGTGTCCTTCCACTAATTACTTTTACATCCTTACGTTGGCTTCTTGTAAACATCTGCGCTGTAGTTACTTAATAAACTAACGTTTACCGTTGAGTACTTTAACCCTGGATTCTTTGAATTAAGAAACATTCCTGTTCTGAGGGTCATGCTGACCGCACTGAGTGTATTACAGTCTGAGAGTCTTCTCACATCCCGAGGGCCCACACGGTTGCTACCGAAGTGATTTGAACCAAAGACCCCCCTGTAGCCACTATCACTTGGTGTCCTGCGTGGCTTCAGGTTGCTCCTTCTGCCTCTCAGGTCCAGCGCCCGGGCCAACATCACCCTGTCGGGGAAGAAGCGCAGGAAGCTCCTGCAGCAGATCCGACTGGCACAGAAGGAGAAAGCAGCCATGGAAGGTGAGGCCGGCCGAGGCACAGGGACGGGGAGCCTGGGGTGCTGGTTTCTTGAACGTTTCCTCTTTCCTCTGTTCAGTGGAAGCCCCCTCAAAGCCAGCCAGGACCTGTGACCCACAGCCCAAGAAACAGAAGAAGGAGAAAGTTCCCCAGGATGTTGACATGGAGGACCTGGAGGATGAGAGCTGAAGTTCTCACTTCTTCCAGCAGAACGTTTTCACCTGCAGTGGAAGGTTGGGTGGTTGTTTCAAAGGACTGCGGAGAGCACATTTCCTCCTTCACTCCTGGATTCCCTATCCCTGATGGCTGGTGGGCGCTGCTGCTGGGAGGTTGTGTTGGAAGAGGGCACAGAAGCAAGACTGCAGAGGGACCTCTGGAGCAGTTGACTCCATTTGTTTTTTGTTTGTTTGTTTGTTTGTTTGTTTTTCTTCCGGTACCAGGAATTGAACTCACTACTTGCGCTTGCCAGGCAGGCGCTTTGCCGCTGAGCTAAATCCCCAGCCCCGACTCCATTTGTAATAAAGCCCAAGAGCCAGGTATGGTCAGCACATCTGTCATCCCAGCACTTGGGAGGCTGAGGCAGGAGGATGGCCTGGAATTTAAGGCCAGCCTAAACTATATAGGGAGGCCCTTGGGGGCTGGGGATTTAGCTCAGTGGTAAAGTGCCTGCCTGGCAAGCGCAAGGTCATGAGTTCGATTCCTGGTACCAGAAGAAAAAAAAGACAAAAGAAAAAGGGAGGCCCTGTTTCAATAATACATAAATAAATAAATGAAATAAACCTAAGGGCTGTGACCCATATGTGTGGTTAAATGTAGAAGTTGGGTGGATGTGAAGAGAGTCAGAGGGCAGGTGAAGAAGCCAGACCCACAGAGCCTACTTAGCAGAGGCAATGAGCCAACCTCCCTGGTCTCCCCAGTGAGCGACTCTTAAGTTTCGGTTTCTGACAAAAGTAAAGATTATTGTAGGGAAGCAGAGGACATAAGTGCCCTGGTACAAACCAGTCCTATACTACCCCTGTGTGACCAGGCTGGTCAAGTTGTCTTACATTTGTCTTGCTCTGCTGTGTTACATTTTTAATAAAATAAAGGCCAAACTTTTTTCCCTGGTGGCAACCAGGACCTCAAGCATGCTAGCCAAGTGTTCTACTACTGAGCTATGTCTCAGCCCCTGTACTTCCCTTTTAACTTTCAGAACTTTTTGAGCTAGGCATGGCAATGAACTCCTGTAACCCTGTCACTGGGGAGGCTGAGGCAGTAGGATCACTGTGAGGTCCAGTCCAGCCTGGGCTACAAAGTGAGTTGTAGGCCAGCTTGAACTGCATAGCGAGACCCTGTCTCAAAAAAAACAACAAAAAAAAGTTGTGCTGAGTGCTTATCCGCTAGAATTACGACAGTGCTTACAAGTAGGCTATAGGAGCACTTTGTAAGTGAACTTTTAAAATTTAGGGACAAGTAAAGAACCATAAATGACAGAAATAAATCAGTCTATTTTAGCCCTTCAAGCACAATCTCTTAAAAAGGTACTAAAAAAAACCATACTCAGCCACGTGTGGTGGCACACATCTGTAATTCCTGCACTAAGAAGATTGAGGCAGAAGGATCACCTTGAGTTGAAGGGCAGCCTAGCCTACACAGCAAGACCCTGTCTCAAAAATAAATAATATGTACCCTCAGGCACTCTTTGGTTAACGCAAAACTTGCTGATACTGACCTAACCCAACCATGGGACAGAGGACAGACAGACTCCTGGGCCCTCAACCTGTCATCAAAAGCATAACTTGTGAGGCAGAGAGGGATTTAAAAGTGGTTTTTAGGGGCTGGGGGTTTAGCTCAGTGGCACAGTGCTTGCCTGGCAAGCACAACATCATGAGTTCGATTCCCGGTAGCAGAGAGAAACCAAAAAAAAAAAAAAAAAAGTTTTTGCTGGAACCAGTTGTGCCACACACCTGTAATCCCAGCATTTGGGAGGCTGAGGCAGGAAGATCACCATGAGTTCAAGACCAGTTTGAACTACATAGCAAGATCCTGATTCAAAAAATGCCCCTCCCCACCAAGTAAACAATAATTTTTGCTAAAACAACTTTGGCCCACAGAGGCTCAATAGGTAACTAAAGTAGCACAGAACCAGGCCTGTGTACCTAACACAGAGCCTGAGGTAGGAGGATTGCCATGAGTTTAAGGTCCTCCTGGGCTACATAGTGAACATAAGACCAGCCTGAACTTCATAGTGAGACCCTGTTATAAAAAGACCAAAATAGCTGGGTGTGGTGGCACACGCCTGTAATCCCAGCACTCGGAAGGCTGAGGCAGGAGGATTATTGCAAGTTCAGGACCAGCTGGGCTACAAAGTGAGCTCAAGGCCAGCCTGAACTGCATAGCGAGACTCTGTCTCAAAAAGACCAACAATAAATAAATAAATAAATAAATAAATAAATAAATAAAAGTAGTACAAAATGTGACCTTTATTTTGTGTGACTCGGTCAAGTCTGCCTCAGCTCTTCCAGAGGCCGATCAGTCTCTGCGGGAGTGTCTGTCTCATCACTCCTCAGGACTGAGGACACCAACAGGAGGGATCTGCATCGTCCGGAATCTAGCATCCCTGAATTCCAGCAGAGCCGCACAAGACAGCTTGTCCTTTGGGCAATGGGGTTCTTCCCTTGGGGACCAAATCACCCAAATTACAAGAACTCAACCTGAGCTATGAAACCAGGACTGGAAAAACAAAGAAAAAGAAAAGAGGGGAGGCGAGGGAGCAGAACTGAGAAAACAATGGACCTGGCCTTCCTCTGCAGCTCTGTGAAGGTAGAAGCCTTTTGCTATCCAGCCTGGACCCCTGCCTCAGAGCCCCCTGCAGCTGCACAAGCTGGTGGGTCCTTCCCATATTTGTTCATGCTTTCCTTGTTAGGACACCAGCCTGATCTTTTATTTTATTTTACTTTTTTTGGCCTTTTGGAGACAGGGTCTCGCTATGAAGTTCAGGCTGTCCTTGAGCTCACTTTATAGCCCAGGCTGGTCTCGAACTCGCAACGATCCTCCTACCTCAGCCTCCCGAGTGCTGGGATTATGGGCGTGCACCACCACACCTGGTTTATTTTACTTTGGAGACCAGGTCTCATTTCTGGCAAGATTTTCTCCTTACTGTTTTGTTTCTTTCTTTCTTTTTCTGTACTTTTGAGACAAGGACTTGCCATGCAGTTCAGGCTGGACTTGAACTCACTTTGTAGCCCAGGCTGGCCTTGAACTCGCAGTGATCCTCCTGCCTCAGCCTCCCGAGTGTTGGGATTACAGGTGTGCACCACCATGCCCAGCTCCTCTTTTTTTTTTAAATTGGAGAAATACTGGGAATGGAGCGCGGGAGCTCATGCTTGCCAGGCAGGCGCTGCGCCACTGGGCTAAATCTCTGGCCCCTTCTTTCTGTTTTGTCTTCTCCATCTTTTTTCTGCTCTCCCTTCAATTGCTTTCTGCAGGGTTTTGGCTCATGAGGTGCCAGGAGTGAACAGAGGACCCTGCCCACGCTAGCAAGCGCTGTCCAGCTGAGCCCTTCCCAGCCTGGGGCTTTATTTCCTAAAGGCTCGCGAGTTGTATATTTGTGTTTCCGGCGCCAGGCAAACAACCAAGGCCCAGGGTGCGCAGGCCTGTGGCACGCGGATGGGTGGTGTAGAGCGCAGACGGCGGACCGGCGCGGAACCCAGGTGCCAGGGTCACGGGCGTGGCCGGAACAATTTTCCCGAGAGGCTCAGCGCGGCTTCCTGCGCGTCTCCGTCCGCGCATGCGCAGCCTGCGCCCAGTCGCTCGCGCCTCGGGC